TGTTCTTTCAGAAAGATCTGCATTAAGCATGAAAATACACACATTCCTCAGCCACAGAAGGGAAAATACTAACTTCTGACCAAAAGGAATAGGGAATCCTATTCTGCTTGGGGGAGGCCACCCATCAATGTTTCTCTCACTTCTCTATTTTCTTCTCTCTCTAAAATCAATAAACATATTCTTGGGTGAGGATTAAAATAAAATAGTAGTGTCCAAGGTATTCTTATATTAAACTCTTACATTAAAATATAAAATTATCACTAGCTGGTTTGGCTCAGAATTTAGAGCATCAGTCCATAGTTCCATTCCCAATCAAAGTCACACATCTGCCTTGCAGGATTTATCCCCGGCCCTGGTTACATATGTAAGGGAGGCTACCAATCAATAAGTCTCCCTAAGGTTGATGTTTCTCTCTCTCTCTCTCTCTCTCTCTCTCTCTCTCTCTCTCTCTCTCTCTCTCTTTTCTCTCTCTCTGTTTCCCCCCCCCCATATTTCTTGGTCTCTCTCCCCCTCTACCCTACTCACCACTCTCTCTAAAAATCTATTGAGATAATAATAAAATAATAATTAATAGAATTAAAATAATAAAAATAAAATTATACCAACAAATAAAGCACTATCTACAACACAGAATACAGTTAAAATATTTCCAAGTAAACACACTAAAATATTTCCAAGTTTTTGGACATTTGCTAAAGTCAAAATTAGTAAATAATCTAAGCTGTTTGTAAATTAAAACTTTTTGATGTCCATAAATGTAAATATGAAGACATTGTGTGAGGGTTGGTTTGTTGGCAAATTGGTGACTTGATGAGGTTATGTTAGTAGAGGTGTATTTCGGGAGATTAGCAAAGGTGTTGCTAATCTTCCTTCCCCTTAGAAGAGACTAGCTCTAGGGAGAGCTCTCAAATCCCATCACCTGGATAAAATGAATGTGGTCTTCAGAGACTCCATATAAGGAGCCAAACTCACTCTTTCCAGAACACAAGGAGTGTGCTTAGAGCTTACATGGTCTGGGAGAATTCTGAGAGCTACAACCATGTTTGGCAAGCTTGATCCCTGAGCAGACCTCTTTTTATTAATACTTCTTGAGCAAGCAGTGGTGAGTTTAATTTATCAGCAAATTGAGGTTGTTTTTACAAAATCACCTTGTTTGCTAACTTAGTAAAAATGATTCCATTAATGATTTGTTTGGTGTTTTGAAAGTAATATGATGACTCATTTTAGTTCTCTTATTTTATTAATCCTTAGTAGTTCCTAGGACTCAGAAAAGTGGCCAGATACCTGTGGTTTTGTATACAGTTGTAGATTCTAAAAACATTTAGAAGTATTTGATTCTATATGTAGTTACACATTACAACCTACTTGAAACATGATGAATGCTTGTGTACACAAGAGAGGTGCTATTCTATGTTTAGTGAGATAAGCACTCAATGATTTGAAAAAATAGTTACATGTTTCAATATTTCACTTTGAAGTAAAATAAATGTCTCTTAAGAAACAGAGTTTTATGACTTAAAGTTAAATTCAGGATAGTCCAGTGGTCTTCCCACATATCCATTAACCCAGCTATATCATCTTTAGCAATTCTTCCAATAGAATTGTCCACAATCAAGAATATGCATTAGGGATGCATTTTGTAGTATTTTCAGTAGCTAAATAAATAAATAAATAAATAGGAAATGATTGTTCTGAAATATATGTTGCCATTTAATGACATATACTACATGTTTTTAGTCTTATTCAACTGACAATATTCTATAGTTTAGTCTGATATCTTGTATGATTTTAACTAAAGGGTTTTATTAATCATCTAAAGCAAATGTTTGCTTCAGCATGCATAGAAAATCCACAGTACTGAATGATATGAAAATAAAAATAACAAAAACAAAAAACCAAAACCTCTCACTGTGATCAATCAAGATCGCAATGAGTGACCTTAGAGGCTAAAATTTCAATTTATTGCTAATGTAATCAGAAATACTTATTAACATTATCAATGCATTGTTTTAGAAAAGATACATATGGCCAGGGCATTTATTCTGTGGATGGCTTGCCATGCTAAACTAGAATAGAACAAGGATACCTATTCTTATATTTCTTAAATTTAAGGTAATATGAACTTATGATAGCTTTTTGATGTGCCAACTTGGTGAGGCAGAACTACAAGGACAAAAATGAGGGCAGCAACCTTTTTTTTTTTTTTTTTTACACACATACCTCTTGCCTCGTTATTCAATCAAAGGCTAAACTACTTGATGCTGTGAGGAGACAGCAGGTGTAACTGAAGTCCCTTATTTTTACTGTGAGCTAATGAAATTCTCAAGTCCTGACTTCATCAGTGAAAGCCTTTTAAGGAAAGGCATAGACAATCCTTGAACAACACTCCAAACATCAAATCAGTCAGTATTGTTCCAGAAACACCTCACTGACAGTGACAAATGCTTTGTCCCACAACCATTGGGTTCTAGCCTGCTGGTGATTTCTCATCCCAACTTACTCCACCACAGATGATCCTGTAAGCTAGATCTTTGTAATAAATCTGTACATGGATCTATATTACTGGTTCTGCTTCTGGGGTTGATAGATAAATCCTTCTTCACTGCTGTGACAGTCTTGACCATAAATCTTGTGGTCCATTGGCAAAGAATTCTTATCTGGGAAATATTAGGCCCTGCCCAGTATGGTTCAGTTGGCTGGGCATCATTCCATGCACCAAAAGGTTTCTGATTTCATTCACAGATGTGCCAGTGTTTCTGGCTCAATATCAGGTAGGGGGTGTGGAGGAGCCAGCCAGGAAATGTTTCTCTCTCTCCTGCTCTGCCTTCCTTTCTTTTTGAAAATCAATAAAAAAATATATTTTAAAACAGAAAATATTAGATAGCCCCTTCCCAAATTTCCTTCCTTTATTTCATTTTCATATAAAAACTCATAGATATAGCATACCAAGAAAAATACTGACAGTCCTTCCTCTTTATTTGCAAGTTCTATAGTTGCAAATTTGCTTATTTACTAAAACTTATTTGTAGTCCTATAATTAATACTCATGGTGTTTTCTTAGCCATTCTTGGACTAGGACTGAGAAGGAGAAATTTGAGTTCTGACAGTTGAAAGTTTCAAACAGAATTTGAATTAAGAGAAGCTCATACAGTAAGTGTCTTTTTCAGGGTATATTATGCCAAGTTTTTGGCATTTTGGTGCTGTTTGTTGGTGACATCACTGTTTGAAATGACCCCCAGCCTTAGTATCAAAGCACTTGGCTATGTTTTATGGAGAAAATGTATCTGTTAGATAAGCATCCTTAAAGAATGAGCTCTAGAGTTGTTGGCCATGAATTAAATATTAATATATACATAATGTATAATAACTAAGATGTCTTTAAACCAAGGTTATGTACTTCTAACAAATGGATGGAAATGCTATGACCAGAGGCTGGAAGGAGATTAACTCTGCATTTCCACAGGGAATAATGCTTCAGTACTTGTAATAAAGTGTTTGTGCCACTTTGTAGAACATGAATGAGATTTTTACTATGTGTATAATATCATCTGTCACTTTAGAAATGAAGTAATTTGTTTTTAGAATGCAATGAAGAATCTACGCTTATATAGATAATAAAACTAATAGATTATCCAATACAACAATGAGCAATTTAATAAAGAGATTATTTATAGAGAAGAAAAAGAACAAAAAAATCAAGAAAAGGTGCTAATATTGATTAATAATGGGAAGAAAGAAATTGGAATCAAAAGAATTATGTTTTATGCATGAGATTGACAAACTTTTGTAAATTTGATAATAATTCCCAAGTATTGGATAATTTATGATTTCTCTTAGGAGTTGCAAAGGGACAGCATTGGGATTTTTAGGGAGTGTTCCCTATTGGTTTGGCTTTGTGGATAGAATGTTGGCCCATGGAATGAAGGTCCTGGGTTTAATTCTGATCAAGAGCATGTACCTCTGTTGCAGACTCCATCGCTGGCACTGTTCTGGGCATGTGCATGAGGCAACCAATCAATGGGTTTCTCTCACATCCATGTTCTCTCTCTAAAAATCAATGGAAAAATATCCTGGGGTGAGGATTAAGGAAACAAAACAAAATAAAAGATGCTTCTAAGAGAAAAAAATAAAATAAATGAAAAGTCAACTCCTAGTAATGTGACAGTAAAGTTTGTAGCTGTGAATGATTAAATATATTTTAGTTTAAAATTAATCTACTTTTAAAAGTTAAAAAGGAACAAGAAAAATGTTTATTTAAACTTTTAGCCTATATTTTTATACCAGAAATATGGATTATAGAACATTATGTAGAATAGTACTTATAGAACATTCACTTTACTGTTGTAGTAATAATATATGTACATTTTAAAAATATTTCAGTTCAGAGTTTAAACAAAAGTTAATTTAATCCTTGAGAATTCAAAAAAGGCCAATTTCTTTCATAATTTCTTTTCTAATAAATCTCCATTGGTTCAATTTGTGTTTGTTTGTTTCTTTATTTGTTTGTTTTAAAGGAGAGAGCAGGTTTTTTTGAGCTTCTCTCTCAAGTCATTTTATAGAACAATTTTGGCCATCTTCTCAGATTCATTGGCTAAATAGATTTGTGGGATAAATTTCACACTTCCGCATTTACTAACAAGTTATTTAAAAGAAGAATGGGTACAATTCTGATTATTTAAAACAATTAAAACCAATAATAAATGCTATATCTCACGTCCTATATAAATGGATACTTGCACACATTTGTATTTGGATAAGTACTGGGAACTGAATGTGCAAGATTGTGTGAGTCATCTAGTGCTAACCTTATCTGTGGTAAAGCCCAAGGACTCTTTCTAAGATCCAGATTTTCATCTGTGTCATGACATAAATAGTTTGTTTGCTTTAGTGAGTATTGCAAAGAGAAAAACATATGGACATCACTACCCTCATATAACTGTTCAGAATCCTCTCACCAACCCAGGCCCAGAAATGAACTGTTTCTAATTCTTCCCAGAAACATGGATCCAAGCATCTTGCAAATCTTTCAGAATGAACTCATCTGCCTCGATTGCAGGAACTACTTCTTAGACCCCATCACCACAGACAATGGGCACAGCATTTGCAGGCCCTGTTTCTACCTCAACTGGCCGGACAGTACAGTTATTGTTTACGGTTCTGAATGTCAGGAAGAAATACAGAATTTATTTCTGAGAAACTTTGGCACAAATGTCACCCTCAAGGAAATTGTTCTCGTTGTCCGACGAGCCCATCTGAGGCAATTCCTGTGCTCTAGGGACAATAGGTGTGGGATACACATGGAGGCAAAGCAGATCTTCTGTGAGGACCAGAGGAGCCTGCTCTGTTTGCACTGCTCTACCTCTCAGGAGCATGAGGCTCACAGACACTGTTCAGTAGAAGAGGAAGTTGAGCAACTCAGGGTAAGTGATGCCCCCGAGGACCCACTTCTATAAAGTGGCTATGAAATTCCTGTGAGTCTGTTTCCTTGAGGATGGGATTACTCCATCCAGGTGTTCCTTTGAGAATTTCTGCCTTGGACTTCCTTAATGTAAAACCTCCCAGTTTTCACAAATATGTGATGTAAACAAGGGAACTCTATGATTTTCAATGGCTCTGATTTATCACTCTGGGGGCTCTCATTTTATGAGGGCTAAATGTTACATTATCCTTTTCATTAGATCTAATTAACCCATCTTTTGCAGGAGAAACTCCTCAGGACAATGTCCTCTTTATGGGAGAATTACTGTAAAAGTAACAGAAAGCTGAATGTGGAAACTGTCACTTACAGATCCTGGGAGGTTGGTATTTGCATTTCTCCAACCTGCAGCATGAACTTGGGGTAGTTGGATGAGTAACTTTGAAATAGTAACTTCCTCTGAAACTATAGTATTTTCGGGGATTCAACAAGAAAAGGGTATTTTCCCTCCATAGACAGATAGTTGGGCTTTTAGTCAGGGTTTCTAACAAAATGACAGCTGACACACAAAGCATGCTGGTTTGTTCCAAGGATTAACGATATTTATCACTTCTACACCAAGAACCACAACAGATTGGGCCATTTCACAGTGTTCCATATGTGGAGGGCGGGGGTAAATTCTGGGCTTAGGAGACATTTGGCAGCCATTGAAAATTTAAGTGAAGCATCTGAGGCAGTATAAACATTAATGTGAATACTGTTGGAAAAGTAATATTTGAAAACAGATGGAAAATTTCAGAGAGAATATCTAATATCTAATCCAATCCAGGGAAACTCTGAACTTATACCAAGTAATTAAATTTAAATCTATATTTATAAACAAATAAGAAACTGAAAGACCGAACAACCAAATGACTGGTCGTCCTGTGGCTATCAGGCCCACTGACCACCAAAAGGAAGATGCTTAATGTAGGAGCTGCCTGCTGGTGGTCATTGTGCTCCTATAGACAATCTCCTGTGGCTGGCCAGCCTCCCGAGGTCTTTCTCCCTGGCTGGCCGTTCAACCTCCTGTAGTCCCTACCCCCAGTTGATCAACAACCTGTGGTTCCTCCCCAAATCCAAGCGGACCCCCATAATCAACCTTGATGGGAAGGTGGTTGCCAACCTCCCACAGTTCCTCCCACCTACTGGCCAGCTCCCCTGATTGGCCCCTTTCACTAGCCAGGCCTAGGGACCCCACCCATGCATTAATTCATGAGCCTCTAGTAATATATAATATCTGAGGAGAAAAATGACAAGATATAAGGGATATACATAAATATGCATATGTTTGAGTTCTAAATAGGATCAATCATCAGAGAAGACCTCACTGAAAATTTCACCTTATGAAAAAGATCTCTGAAAAGGATGGCAAATGTAGGGGCATGTAGAGAGAGTATTCTAGATGGAGAAAATAGCATAGGTGAATATATTGGGAACACTTGAAAAGCCATACAAATCAGAGGGGGCATCAGAGTGAAAAATAAAGAGAATGAAAGGAACTAAAATCAAAGAGATAATGGGATTCAGATTGTCAATGAAACCTCCTCAGGATAGGATTAAGCTGGATGAAATGCAAGGGATAAGCATATCAGTCTGAGGTCACAGCATGAAAAAGGTGTTGAAGTAATCTCCAAATTTCAGGAATCGGACTAAACAGAGAATCCCTAATCCAATTAATATAAATTTAAACTGCATGTTTTATAAATGAACTGTGTTGCCTTCTCACACATGTTGCCTGGAAGATAGAAATCACACATTTGGTGTTTTTTTTTTTTTTTTTTTTTAAATGATTATCTTATCAAAGGCTTCATTATGAATGAATTGGATATAATTGGTGTTTAAAAATATATGGAAGAGGAATGAGAAAATGTGAATCCTGAGACTAGACAAGATTGAGGGGTAAAGTTAAATATAATTGATCTTTATAAGGCGATGAGATTCAGTAGGAGATGAATGAAAGGGTTCATGTTTTGACTAACTCCATGTCATTGCAGATTTATGTAAACTCAAAGAGGGAAGGGATCAGAGCGGAATATGATAATTTGCCTCCATCTCGCTATATGGAAGAGCTACATTATATAGAGATATTGCAAAGGGAAGGCAAGGAGATTTTTTACCAACTCAAGGATAGTGAAGCCAGGATGGCACACAAGACGGAGCTTTTAAGAGGAATGTATACAGAGCTGAAGGAAATGTGCCATAAACCAGGTGTAGAGCTGCTCCTGGTAAGAAATCAGAGGTGGGGTGTTGAACATTCATGTGCACTGGCATTCCTTCAGCAGAAATCCATCTCCTCTTTTATGTCATTTATTTCCATAAACCTGTTTTCTTTTACTTTGTTGGGAGGGTATTGCTCCTCAAAGGAACTCCGCAAAATAAAGATCCAGATCCCTCCTACATTATCCATAAGAAACAAAACTCTGTGAGATGGTAAAAAAATCCTGAGTTAGATTCCCCCTCTAAAAGTCAATGATATATTTTTGGCTTTGTGAAAGGCACAAAATGGTAGGGGGGGGTGGTATTGATATTGAGGCTAATTATAGGCATGGCAATATGGGGAGATTTGGGGTTCTACACTTGCATTGCTGTCATTTTGGGTGCACCCAAATTAGAAATAGAAAAGACACTGATACTTAATCATGGCTATAGGAGCACACAGGGACTCCCCAGCCTTCCCCCTTCCCCCCTTTAGCTGCCCATGGAAAGTCTCCAGGAATCAGTGTCCAGCAGAACATGAGTTTAGGGCAATATGGTAAACAAGAGGGAGTAAATAGCAGAGTAAGGAAATAATGACTTCTGGCACTATCTCAAAATTTCCCACCAGGGTGCTGGAGGGACTGAGCAAAAAATAAATAAGAGAAAGAGCAAAAAATAAGATAAAATAATCTCCCACTGGACCTAGTGGAAGAGTCATTGGTAAAAAGCACTAAACATTTCTATTTTTCTCCACAGAATTTTGGAGACATATTGCACAGGTGAGTCTGTACCTTGATACCAGCTGGTGCTCTTTCAGTTTTTACAGACATCAGGCAGGATATGCTAAAGTGAAGGCAGAACTTACTGGGATCTTGTTTGAATTTTTTCCCTGTATCTATCTTCCCGTCTCCAACTGCATGTTTCTTTTCATTGCAATACTGAGTGATTGCATTCAGCAGTTTCTATGGACAAATTGCAAAGAACACCCCCCCCCCAAAAAAAAAAAAAACTGAATTAAGGAAACTCCTCCATTCCCAATATCTTTTTTTAGTTCTCAAAATCCTACATATATGAAGGAGAAGATGCTAAGTTTTCTGAGGGATGAGAAAGTCAAATATCAATACCTTAGAGACAGAGCTAGTGGAATCTGAGGTGCTAGGGTAGAGGAAGACGTGGTGGTTTGTTGTTCTATTCATAGAAGTTGACAGTCCTGAAAAACAGATGAAACAAATTCTCTAAGAGAATGATGTGAGGCCCTTAGAACCTTTTTCCACCAGAAAGCAGATTCCCCTGCTTGGGAAAAATTTCACAGCCTCTATGTTGAGAGTGTGCACTAGGCCAACTAGTCTTCAGAGAACCCCATCATTTCCAGGTGGAGAGCATGTCAGTGGGATCCAGAATTTCCCTCTTGAAGATCCTCAAGGACCTAAGAGACTCAGGATCTTTACAAATTCCTGGACAAGATGAGAAAGGGTTAGAATGAATTCTGGTTCAAATGGACTTTCCATTAGACTTGAAAATTAAGGAACTATGAAGAAGAATTATTTGGCAAAGTGGATTTATTTAAGTCTACTAATTATTCAAATTAATGGATTTAAATAATTCTATTGAAGTATCTTATACATGAAAATAGTGGTTTTGTTTATTGACTGTAAACAGTATCTTCCTCTTCCTTCTTGCAGGAGTGAGGCAGTGTGTGAGCACATGCCCCAGCCTGTGAAAGCAGAGCTCACTGCAGTGACCATCTCAGGGATGATTGCAAGGTTCGAATTGTTCAAAGGTAAGTGCAGGCCCATGGGAAATATTCCCATTATCTATCATGTGTTGTTAGGACCATGCAGATAATCTGCCCTCTATTACTGTGTTTCCCTGAAAATAAGATATCCTCCGAAAATAAGACCTACTTACAGGTTTCCTTCTGAGTGAAATATAAGGCATCCCCCCGAAAATAAGGCCTCCCTAGGCTAAACATGAGAGATTTGGTCCACTGATTCTGAAAGAAATGAAGTCACAAGAAATTCACCAGGAAATTCAGGAATTGGATAGTTATGATGATGTTCCAGAAGATGATGACATGATTGTCATTGAATAAATGAGTAAATTCTTGATACTGTAGGATTCACAGTTTGTCTGGTTTGCGTTGACAACTACCGTATTACTGTACCATATACAGGTAATAAATTTCCTTTATTTTCATTTAACAATAAATGTGTACTGTATTCTTCATGGAAAAATAAGACATCCGCTGAAAATAAGACCTAGCGCATCTTTGGGAGCAAAAATTAATATAAGACACTGTCTTATTTTCAGGGAAACAGGGTATTAGTGTGTACTATTTTCAAACATAAGTAGATCATTTGGCTGTATAATCATTTCGTAAGGGATCATGTCTTTACAGTCACCTTCATAATACTAAGCATGAAAGGTAGTGAAAAACAGAAATATGATTCAGACTCATAAATAGTGAGTTTCCTACATGTAAAGGAATTATGTCAGAAATGAGCAGTATAATAAATGGAATAATGTTCAGATTTAAGGTTAATTATCTATTTTTATGAGCAAAACTGTACATTTATTCTTTTTAAAAAAATAAATCTTTATTGTTCAGATTATTACAGGTGTTCCTCCTTTTTTTATCCCCATAGCTTCCCTCCACCCGATTTCCCACCCCATCCCACCCCATGTCCTTACCCCCCACTACTGTCTTCATCCATAGGTTTAAGACTTTTGTCCAATCTTTTCCCGAACCCCTCAGACCCCTGCCCCCCTGAGAACTGTCAGTCCACTCCCTTTATATGTCCATGATTTCCTTATTTTCACCAGTCCATTCTTTTCTTCAGACTTTTTATTCACTTAATTTTTAGATTCACTTGTTGGTAGGTATGTATTTGTTGTCTTTTTGTTGTTCATGATTTTTATCTTTACCTTTTTCTTCTTCCTCTTCTTAAAGAATATCCTTCAGCATTTCATGTAATCCTGGTTTGGTGGTGATGAACTGCTTTAGCTTTTTCTTGTCTGTGAAGCTCTTTGTCTGACCTTCAATTCTGAATGATAGCTTTGCTGGGTAGAGCAATCTTGGTTGTAGGTTCTTGCTGTTCATCACTTTGAATCTTTCTTGCCACTCCCTTCTGGCTTGCATAGTTTCTGTTGAGAAATCAGCTGATATTCGTGTGGGTACTCTTTTGTAGGTAACTAACTGTTATTCTCTTCCTGCTTTCAAGATTCTCTTTGTCTTTTGCCCTTGTCATTTTAATTATGATGTGTCTTGTTGTGGTCCTCTTTGGATTTCTCTTGTTTAGGATTCTGTGCATTTCCTGTCCTTGTAAGTCTATTTCTTTCACCAGGTGGGGGAAGTTTTCTGTCATTATTTCTTCTACTAGGTTTTCAATATTTTGCTCTCTCTCTTCTTCTAGAACTCCAAAAAATCGGATATTGGTATGCTTAAAGTTGTCCAGAGGCTCCTTACATTATCTTCCTATTTTTGGATCCATTTTTCTTTTTGTTTTTCTGGTTGGGTGTTTTTTGTTTCCTCATATTTCAGATCTTTGGTTTGATTCTTGGGATACATTGATTTAGAGTTGAGTTTCTGTAAATTCTTTATTTCATACTATGTATTCATAATTTCTGTCTGGTCCTTTTCCTTTTTTTTTCCCCCCCCCATTCTTATTAAGGTCCTTGAAGGTGTCATCAAGTTTCTCAGCAGTTTTTAGAAGGTTCTTGAGTAACCTTATAAATGTGGTTCTGAACTCCATGTTGTCCTGTAGTTTGCTTTCCTCCATTGTCCCCTTTCAGGGTATGCCTCTGTGTCTCTGCATTTTGGCTGCTTCCCTGAGTTAATGGAGCGGCTTTGTGTGGTAGGTGACACACAGGGGCCAGTAGCTCAGCCTTCCCAATCACCCGAGGTAGTCAGTCTTGGAACACCCCTTTGTGGGCTGAGTGAAAAGTCTTGGTATAGTTAAGCCTTGATTGCTATTGGTACTCTGGGAGGAATTGTCCTCTAGGCCAATTGGCTGTGGGGACCCGCTGTGTTTATAATGGAAGAACTGCTGCACTGGAGACAAGCTTATGGTGCAGGACTTGTTTCAGTGGGACTTTGGTGCTCACTGAGTCTGCCTCTTGAATGTGTCAATTATGGATGTGAGGAATTGAAATCTGTGTCTTACCCTGACCACTAGGTACACTGGCTTCTGGATCTCCAATGGGGTGCAGGACAGCTACTGTCTGAGGTCACCCTGCAGGAACTACAGCAAGATCTACAGTCCTCTCCTCCCTGCTTGGGATTTGTATATTATGGAGCTGTCTGAACTGGCTTGGAAGTTCTTAGCAATAGTGAAGGCCATTCATATGCAAAAGCCACTGCTTGGAGCTTGGGTGTGTTTGTAGATTGTGTGGGGCAGAATCTCGGGGCATCATTAAGCTAGGGAGTGGCAAACAGCAATGGCTGGCAGTGAGATGTCCTGCACCTCCGACTGTGTCTCTGAGTCCAGCACAGGAAACAATTATTCCTCTGTGCAGCTCTGCAAACCAGCCACCCTCACTTTCTGATCTGATGGCAGACAGTCTAGCTTCTCCCTGGAGAAGTTCGGGTCTCGTGTGTCTCTTTCGGGTTGAAGAAAGCAATGCCTGCCGCCAGCCGGGATCTACCACTAGCCCATGTTGTGCGCCCCCATACCTCCATTTTTCAGCTTTTTTGCACTGAATGTTCCCCTCTCTTTTTGCATGGTTGTAGAACTTTCACTCAGCCAGCTTTCCCATGGCTCTGGTTAATGGATATTTTGTCTTTTAGTTGTAGTTTTGAAATTGTTGTGCACAACTGCAGTGTAGGTGTGTTTACCTATGCCGCCATATTGGGTTCCCCTTCATGTCTTGGTTGGAGGGTGCGCTTTAATGGACTTACATTTATTCTTCATATATAATTTTCAAATGTTTACAACAGTTTTTTTGTAGACATATAGCATACTGGATCTTATTTGGTTTCCTTGTATTTTTCCCTCCAATGGCCATATAATGTAAAGATTTGAATTAATATGTAAGAGTTAACAGAAGACTTGTTGATGGTAGACATTCTGAGAGGTGTGACATGGTACCTCATTGATGTTTTAATTTGTATCTCTCACGTGATTAGTGGCTTTGAGCATGTCTTTTGGATTTCTGAATATCCTCTTTTGAAAAGTGTCTATTTAGGTCCTTTGCCCTTTCTTGATTGGATTGCTTATCTTCCTTTTGTTAAGTTGTATGAGTTCCCTGTAAATGTTAGAGATTAAACCCTTATCAGAGATAACATTGGCAAAATGTGTTCTCCAATGCAGTGGGCTTTCTTGTTTTGTTGATGATTTCTTTTGCTGTGCAGAAACATTATTTTGATGTAGTCACATTGTTTATTTTCTTTTTAGTTTCCATTACCTTGGAGCTGTATCCATAAAGATATTGCTATGGCAAATGTCTGCTATTTTGATGCCTGTGACTTCTCAAATTTTTTATCCATTTTGAGTTTATTTTTGTGTATGGTGTAAGCTGGTGGTCTAGTTTCATTTTTTGCAAGTATCTATCCAGTACGCTGCTGTAAAAAGAAGGAATTCTTTTTTTTTTTTAAACAAGGATTTAAAATATATATGTATATATTATTGATTTTTTTACAGAAAGGAAGAGAGAGGGACAGAGTCAGAAACATCGATGAGAGAGAGTCATTGAGCAGCTGCCTCTTGCACACCCCCTACTGGGTTTGGGCCCACAACCAAGGTACATGACCTTGACCAGAATCGAACTCAGGACCTTTCAATCTGAAGGCTGATGCTCTATCCACTGAGCCAAAGTGGTTTCAGCAAAAGAAGAAATACTTAACATTTGCAACAGCATGGAAGAAACTGTAGAGCATTATGCTAAGTGAAGTAAGCCAGTCAGTGAAAGATAAACACCACATGATCTCACTCATATGTGTAATATAAACAATATTATAAACTGTTGAACAAAAATAGATAGAGGCAAAGAAGCATTGAACAGATTGCCAAACTACAGGGGGAAGGTAGGGAAGGGTTAGGGGGGTAAGAAATCAACTGAAGGACTTGTAAACATGCATATGAGCATAATTAGTAGACATAAGCTACTGGGGAAGGGGGTGAGGGCAAGTATGAGGGTGGGTAGGGGAGGTCAATGAGGAACAAAAAGGAGATATATGTACGACTATTTGTAATACATTAAACAATAAATTTGAAAAAAGAGTTAACAGAAGAATCCTATCTAATAAAAGAGTAATATGCAAAGTGACCATCACTCCAACACACAAGATGGCTACCCCCATGTGGACACAAGATGGCCACCTTAATATGGCTGGCAGGGGAGGGCAGTTGTGGGCAATCAGACCAGCAGGGGAGGACATTTTGGGGGGACCAGGCCTGCAGGAAGGTCTGGTAATATATAAAATGACCATCACTCCAACACACATGATGGCCGCTCATGTGTGGTCAAACTTGGCTGCCCCCATGTGGACACAGATGGCCACCACAAGATGGCTAGCAGAGGAGGGGAGTTAGGGGTGACCAGGCTTGCAGGGAGGTCAGTTGGAGGGGACCAGACCTGTAGGGGAAGGCAGTTAGGGGTAACCAAGCTGGGAAGGGAGGGTAGTTATGGGTGACCAGATCAGAAGGGGAAGACAGTTGGGGGAAAGAAGGCCTGCAGGGAAGGACAGTTAGGGGCTACCAGGTAGGCAGGGGAGGGCAGTTAGTGACCAAGCCAGCAAGGGAGGTGAGTTAGGGGCAATCAGGCCAAGAGAGTAGCAGTTAGTCATCAATCAGACTGGCAGGGGAGTTGTTAGGGGGTGATCAGGCAGGCAGGCAAGTGGTTGGGAGCCAGCAGTCCTGGATTATGAAAGGGATGTCTGGCTGCCCATTTAGGCCTGATCCCTCGAGGGGTCCCAAAGTGGAGAATGTGCAGGCTGGGCTGAATGAATTTCATATACCAGGCCTCTAGTTATTTTTATGAACAACAAAGTAAAAACACACCAAAATTCAATTTACTCATAACTGAAGAGTTACATGTTAAATCTCAAAATGCTGATAGCCCAGAGTCAGGACAGAGGACAGAGGGACTGGTGAGGGGTTTTTCAAACACCCTATTAAAATGGACATAAATTGGATTTTAATTAATTTATCTAAAAAAATGTTCGACTTATGCCAAATCAGTACATCCCTTCCAAAATGATGATGTGATTATTTAGAAGAAATGTTCCTCTGATTCTAATTTTTTACAATGGAAAACAATTCAAAGAATATTAGCATTGGCCATTTGCTATGAAAAGTGAACTTGGAGACATGAGTCTTTTTGTTCTTAATCCTCACCCAAGGAAACATACACAATTTTTTTTTTAATTGACTGAAGAGCGGCATGGAGAGGAATAGTGAGATAGAAACATCAGTGATGAGAGAAAATTATTGATCAGCTGCCTCCTGCATGCCTCCTATTGGGAATCAAGCCCAGAACCCAGACATGTGCCCTGACCAGCAATGGAACCTTGACCTCCTAGTTCATATGTCAAGACTCAAACACTGAGTCACATGGGCTGAGCTAAGTATATTTTTTTACATTAATTTTTAAAGACAGTAGAAGGGAGGGAGGGGCGAGAGAGGGACACCATGTACCCAGGCAGATGCAGGTGCAGGGGATGGAACCTGCAATCCAGGATGTGCCCTGGACTTAAATCAAACCTTTTATTCTAAGTTGGTGAGCCAACACTCTGACCACTGAGTCACACTACCCAGGGTGAGATGAGTCTTATATTTTACTCTACACATTTGAATTTTTTAAAAAATGTCCAAATTTCTGTTAGGGATCTGTTTGTTCTACACATGTATAGGTCCTTTATTAAATGTGACAACCAACATAGCTCATGTTAATGAGACCTCATAATAAAGCAACATCTTGAAAGAGCAAATTTGCCTCAGGACTTTTATCTGCAATGTGTCCACATGATTATTTTTTTTCTTTTTGCAGAGATTGTTATCCTACGGCATGCAAGAACTCACGGTCATGTCTTCCTAGATGGAAGTTTGATAAGCCTGGATGTTGGATGTGGCCCTCTAGATGAACTGTGTATCACCTCACAATATGAGTGTTTTCTTAACTGGGGTGTTCAGACTTTTACCATTGGGAGACATTACTGGGAGATAGATGTGGGAGACACTTGGAATTGGGCTGTAGGAGTCTGCTGTGATGAGTTGGTACAGAAGCATATACATTTCCATAAGGCATTTTATCTTCTTGGCTGTGCTAAAACGGACATGCACCACAGTGTCTTCACCACCTCCCCACCTGTACTGCAATATGTGCCCAAACCTATTGGCCAAGTAGGGGTATTCCTGGATTATGAAGGTAGAAGTGTGACCTTTGTAAACGTAGCACAAAGTTCCCTTATATGTAGAATCTCCTATTGCTCTTTCTCTCTCTGTCTCAGGCCTGTCTTTTGCTGCAGTCACTTCAATTAGAAATAACATTAGGAATTTTTCAAATATTCTGGGGAACTCCAATATCTATGGAAGGCCTTTTCCTGGTCACTATCAAATAAGACAAATATGTACATGTTTTTGTTTCTAATTTCCTTTTATGTCATGAATACCTATTTACTGTATTATTAAATATGATAACCTACAAAACATATGTATTGGTTTGTGCTTGATTCAGTTTAGGAAATCATCATCCATGATGCATTTGTTTTATTGTGAACTGTCAGGAAGATAACTAGAGCTGACAA